GCTCACCCTTCCCTCTGGTGTCGCCTGTTGCTCACTGTTCTATAACATTGTGTTGCAGCAAGAAAAGCAATGAGGAATGGCATATCCCCCATAATTATTGATAATACCAACCTCCACGCCTGGGAAATGAAGCCCTATGCCGTCATGGTAGGAAGACGTATCATTCTGAATTTTCAGTTATGGGCATTTTGTGAGAAAGTTGAAACATTTGTTCTTTTTTTTCCGATCAGTGTGATCATGTTTATTAATAGTAATCCTCTCAGGGAGCGAGAGGTTTTATTTTCGTGTTTCTTTTCTGTTCAATGGCCAAGATTTGCTGAGATTGTAATATCGGGGTACAATTTTTAAACAGTCCTGGGTCTGATTTCTTGATAGCTTTTGGTCTTGTTTGTTCCCCAAAGGGGAGGCAGGCAGTGGGGCACCCACTGAAACCCGCAGAGAAGGGCTGGGCTTGATGATGGGCCTAGCAGAGCCAGAGATGAGAGTGACAGGATGGGTCTGTGTTGGGCAAGCTGGGACTTTGGTACTATGTAGTTTTGCTGCAAGGAAGTTAGTTCCAGGACAACAGAATTTTCAGTTTAAAAAGAGATTTAGGATTAACACTGTAACCTTGTTAAGATACGAGAATACAAATATAAATACACACATAAAGGTAACAACCCAGCTCCCATAGTTGGAAAAGAACAGTAAGATGTATAAGACAATTTACACGTTTTAAGTTTTGAAATATGTCTGATCTTTGTTTAAGACATATTTTACTCTTCGGCTAATAAGTTTTCATTTCCTACTGGGTACAGAAAGGAGAAAAGGTCCAGGAACATAATGGGACAAGAAGAAGACAGCTGAGGACCCCCTTTTGTCTTACTTAATCCCCACTTGGCTGGTTCTGAAGTGAATATTGCCCAAACTGGGCCCATGGCAGTCTATTTTTAGGCTTATTTTAACATTCTGGGCAAAATAGTTTACATATATATCAGTGTACTTTTCTCTATATTTTCATCAGTTTACTTAGGCCCAGACTGTGGTGAGTGTAGGAAAGAATTCTACAACTTTGTGGTCATTTCAGTTCATGGACCAAGAGTCCACTTGGGGGACAAATAAACAGCGATATGAGGAGTCCACTTAATTAAGGCACAACTCAAAACCAAGAGTTAGGGGTTAACTGAGAGGTGGCCTAAGGGAAGTAATTTTACTTTTTATTTTCTGGATATGTACATTTTTTTTCAGCCATCCAGTTATTAATAAGACCCAGAAATTAGCTATTTTCCATATATGGTACTTGACTTCTTCCCTAATCAGGAGTGCCCATATAAAGAATAAAAATGAAGTTTTTTTACTTAGCTCTTTTCATTCTGTATTTTATAACACAATAAATCATTGTGATAATAGAATTCAGTTTGAGATAAGTAGTAGTCAATTTATGAATGCAAAGAATATTTGGGTTGTTTATATGGAAACGAATACTTTTCTAGATTCAAGGAAATGGGGCCCAGTGCGTTGAGCCGAACCGTATGGCACAGCAGGTAGGGCGCCTTTGGGAGGGGAGAGTGCGTGGATCACTTCTACTTCATAAGCTCCGACCCCACGGCACTCACTTTCTAAACCAACGCCTGAGGAATAGGACCTGGCATTTGACAGGAGAAAATCTATGACAACCATGTGAGGGGCTTTGGGAAGCCATCAATTTCATTGCTCATACCTGTGGACATTTAAAACTAGTTCAGCTGTTTTAAAAAATGCCCAAACCAAAGAACTCTTAAAATGTGTCTCTATAATAGATACAATTGACCATAATTTATAATTGGGAATCATAATACAATCTGAGAGAGGCTACGTATGGAAATGGACCAAGTCTACTTATTAAGATAAACTAAGGCATGTAAAACAAAAGGAATTTTGGAAAAGATTTGTAGTAAATGTTAAATGGCAGCATAAACATTCCCAAACATACATACCATGTCTTCAATGTTTTATGTACTTTTGAAAAATCAGGCGCTTGAAAATAACTATGAAGTTATATTCCGAGAACCTGACACTCGCTGGAAATTCAACGTTCAAGAGTTAGCAAGGTACTTCTTTGCTTTTTCTAGCTCCTCATTATGTATCCTGCTATTTTCAGGTATTTCAGACCGAACAAAAGAATCTTTTCAGGCTGGAAATGGACATGGTAGTTTTCAGGCCAGAAATGGTAATTCTTGGAAATTGATAACTTTGGAATTATTAATAAGACCTTAGTTTTGCGTCAGTTTTCTAATAGAATGCTAAATGCTAAATCTTGGCTTGGACTTGGTCCTTTGAAAGGACACATTTAACTTTCTGCTAAAATGCTTCCTTGTTACTGAACATTAAAGCACTTTCCTCTGCATGGGGTTGCACACGCCAGTGGTGTTTCTGCATTTAGGCTAAAGAAAGATGGGTAGATGTTGAACACTCTGTGGTTCATTCATGGACTAGATGCTCCTTCTAATTTATAAAGTGATAAGCATCCCAGTAATACTAACTTGTTGACTGAATGCATGGTTCTGGTATATACTGTCTGTGTCATTTGATAATGTCAGTGATTGACAGTAACCAGTGATATCAGAATTTACTTTTAAGGAATAAGGCTAGTTTATCTTACGGGTACACGCAATAGTGTTTCCAAAGTGGGTCTGTGGAGCGCCCATCAGAATTGTTTGAGGTGGTCATTAAAGCCCTACTTCCTGGACCCCGTTTCATATGGAATCGCTGGTAATTAGATTTCGAACTGCATCCTGAGTTGCTTCTCATGCTCACTGGGATTTATGAATGTTTTAATAAGTATCTAGAAGTATCTAAGCCTGGCTGGCATAAACCGATGATAGATATATATGCATGATTAATAGGCAAATATGTAATAAGAAAGATCTCACGGTGTTCTTTTATGCCTTGAACCGCAGAACTGAGATTTCCAGAAACAAAGCACTTCTGAAGCCTTAGCTCTTGGCTAGCCTCTGGGGAGTGTGGGGCGCGCAGGGGGCAGGAAGGCCGGCGTGGGGCCTGACAGCGGCCCAGCAGGCTGCGGTGCGTTGGTCAGCCGCACCCCGCGCCTCGGGGGCTGCTCTGGGCAAACACGGGGCGTGGAAATGCCAGGACCTCGGTCCGATGTACGGCCGCAACCACCTGCCTTCTTTTCCATGTAGAAGAAACATTCATGGCGTCTCAAGAGAAAAGATACACCGGATGAAAGAGCAGTATGAGCACGACGTCACCTTCTACGGCGTGCTGCACGCGGAGAAGCCGAGCCGAGCGGGCAGGGCGCGGGACAGGACGGCCGCCTCGCCGCCCGCCGCCGCGGGGCTCTGGGGCGCCTGCGCCCGCGTCCCGCGCCGCGCAGCTCCCGGGGGCTGCCCGCAGCCCAGCGCCTTCCGCAGGAGGGGCGGCTGCCACCACGGGTACTAGAGGCCGCGCCTGCGGGCATCCACTTTCCTAAATCAGTTTTTACTTCAATTTTTTGGTATTTATTCTTTGCTCGGTTTTAGAGCTGTAATTCCAGTGCAGAAGTGATGTCCCTCGCCAACAGGTGTCCGGCAGAGCGACGCTACGTGCAGAGTCTGATGTGCGGAATTCTGCAGAGCCGAGTAAACAAAGCCTCTAGGGAAAGAACGGATTTGAAACTGAAACCTGAAAACCGAAGAACATGACCAGCCCTCCAGGTTCATAAATGAAATAAAGTGTTTATAATATATCTATAAGCTTCAGGACCACTTTGTCTGAAGTAATCTATTTTTTCAGGAAATTCATCTCTATCAGGAACCTGGGAGAGGTGGGGAAGGCGAGGTGGGCGGCAGGAAACATTTTAGTGCCAATGCTACTTGGATAATCCTCGTGTCAACAACGTGAGCTGGGTGGCTGTCACGGGGAATATGGATTTTTCTTTACAATGAATATGCTAGAAAGAAACACCTAACTGAATATTGTCCTTCGAAGTGGATACTTTGGGAAATTATTCCTTTATTCTAGCGATGTATTGTTAAAAATGTCTATTGGATTCTTCTTAAGTATACAAGTAGTGTCATTATTTAAAGTCATACCTTGTGTTTTAACTACCACTTTACTGAACAGGATTAAACCTGAATGACTTTTGGCTGCTGTGCTAACAGCATAAATAAAACAAGCCTGCCTTTATAAAATATCAATTTTTAAGATGAATAATTAAGCGATTTAAAAAATCATGCCTATAAAAAATATGGGATCAATTGGCAGCCCAAATATTTGGGAATGCAAGGGATTAATCCCAGGATATAAATCATATAGGAATGTGTAAAAGCCATGCTCATTGTGAGATGGGCAGTCTTGGTGTTTTATGTGGCATTATTTAAGACACTAAAGTTCAACCACAACTCTGGAATGGCCCTCTTATATAAGTAATTCATGAACCCAAATTAAATCTCAGCAGGTTGGAGTAAGATTCATTTGGTGTGAGATCACGATAGCTGACCATGTAGGATATGTTTTATTTCTTGTTGGCCAACAGCTTCTTTCTAATGTTTTGTGAAGTATTATTTTAAGTGTCCTATATAATGGTGCTTTTATGGTTATTAAAAATTATGTATGCTATTGCTTTACATGGATTTGTCATTGAATCTAATCTTTTTTTTTTTTGGTTCAACAATGTAAAAAATTTACCCAAATCCCACAGAATTCTACCATTTTAAGAACTAGTTTTCCTATATCATAAACTTACCAGTCTTCTTTAATAAATAGGAGACATTCACGTAAAGACAAAAGCAACATATTTTTCTTGCTTATATAAGTTAGTTTAGCTGTGCACATTAGAAAGACTATATTACTTTGACATTTTATTATCTGGCATTATTGAAATCTACTCAACATCTTGTAGCTGAGAATACCAGCAATGCATCTGTGATGTTTTCATTAACATTCTAAAAGTTATCTCCTCTAACAAAGTTTGACAAAACTAAAATGTAGTGACTTTGAATCTAAGGTACTAGAGTTTTGCTAAATTCTATGCAACTAAGGACAGCACATCAAAATCTAATAATAAAATCCACAGAACAATACTTACGTTTTTAAGGCCCAGGTAGTCCTGGGTATCCTAGTCAGTGTGGTGGCTGCAGCACTAGCTCAGTCTGGACGGCTTGCTCCATCTAGGATAGAGGGAAGTGTCAGAGCCCACACGGGAAGTGCCTGCTTTTGATTCCGTGGCAGCAGACAGAAGGGTCAGAATTCAAGCGCTCCTGGTTTGGGTCTGGCTCCCGGTTTCAGTTGGGCTGAGTGAGCAGCACGGAGAAGTGGCCCAAGGTAATAGATCCAGGCTTTTAAAGGGCTCAGAATAGTTTCCCCATCTGTTTTCCTATCTGACTCCTGAAACACTTGGTTTGAAAGCATAAAAAATTATTGATTAAATGCCACCAACTTTATCCCAGCTAGAAGTGATCTTTTTTCTCTTAATTCCCATGGCTCCTGATTTATATAGTTTTTGAACACCCAATACTGACTCGTATTGTTTTGCATTCTTCCTCCGCTGGCACAGCATGTGTGCACAACAGGCTCTCACTGATTGTTGAGTAACAAGAATCCCTTTTACCACTTGCCTGGTCTCATGCACTGTATGTACACTGTTGACTCTGTAATCATTAAATTGTCACTTTTGGGGTTAATATTCACGTATATTCAAGCTTCATACTTAGCGCCTCAGTACCTTGGCTATATTATTTACAATTTATAAACTGTAGTATGTGTATGGACTCTCTCTATAGTCGGTAGTCTGAATGGTAGTGAAGAGTGGAGGAGGTAATAGCAATTACATTTTTCCAGGGAGAAAAAAAAGGTGAAATTCTTATAATCCTTTCTGTTCACCTGCCATTCAGGTCTTACTCCCTGTTCTAGAGTGGACCACTGGGAAGATGATGTGAGGACCAAACTGTGAACAAAACTCACATCACATTAATAAGACTGGCAGAACGCAAGTTAAAAAGAATAGCAGAATGGGCTGTTAAGAGATTTTTAGAGAAAAGAATCATGGATTACAGTATGGAAGAAAACAAACTGCTTTTTAAAAGGTTTACTCTTGGCTTTGAAATGTGCTTATAATTAGATGTGAAAACATATATAAATTTAAGGCATTAAAAGACCTGATTAAGAGCTTCTCTATGCAGTTAGCTCCTAGTTAGAATTGCTTTCTCTTTTTCTCTATTTATGTAAGTAATAAGTGAGGGTATCATCTTACATTGAACTGTTATCTTTTGCCTTGGTAGTCAGAGACAACTAGATTTAAAAGGGAGTGCTTGCTGGGTCCTGGGATAGGGCTAAGAATAAAGGGAGATTACTGTGAGTTTTGAAGAAAAGATTTGCTCCTAAGCTGCAGTCCAGATGATCATTTTGATAAAAAGCAAAACACTATGCAATGTGCTTTTTGTTTAAAGTATTTGAATTTTTAATTGAAATAATTTAATTTCAGAGATCACACTGGAATCATAAAAAAGGTGATTCTGCCCTTTTTTTAAATTGCAGAGGTCCCACTGGAATCATAAAGATCATTCAGGGTAGTTTTTCTTGTAGTCATGCCGACTTGAGGAGGAAGAATTGGTCAGAAGACAGCACCACTGTAGTATCTTACTCATCCTGACGTTTGGCCAGGATGGAACCACAGTAGAATCAACACATGAAGGAAGGGAAACTAGTTCACAGTGGGTTACCCCTAAAAAGCCCCCCCAAAACCTAAAACAGAAACTAAACTAAAAGGAATCATGTGAGTCCAAATAACTGTATTGGAAACCTAGATTTATTTAATTAAGGACATAATCTAAAAGAAAAAGGTATGTTTACTTCATTTGTAAACTAATACTTGTAGTGATCAAATCCAGTCATAAAGACTTAAAGGAGACTGTTTTCCTGATTAGTTAATAAATTACATTCGGCTTTATGACCCGGAACTGAAATAAAGTTCACCAGTACAGAAGCGGGCAAAGAGTACTCCCAGGACACACAAGCACGTAGGCAAATCTGCACCTGCTCCTTCTCTCATGCAAACACTGGCGTGCAGTGTGAAACTGTGTATGCTGTACAGACTGGAGAGGTCAGGAGCCAGTAACTAATCTGCGGTCACTTCCTTCTTTGGTCGCCTTTGCAGTCTCTGCGATACACCCTGCTTTGTGCTTGTGTCGGGCACATCAGTCTGTTCTTCGGTGCTGGCTCGGGGAGCATCTTGCTCTCTGACCACAGACGCAGTGTCAAGCCCTTGCAGTTGGAGACGGTCTTCTGATCTGGCGGGAGCAGTCTTAGTGGAGTCCCTGGTGGGTGTAAGCTGACTGTCTCCTCTTGAAGCAGACAAAAGGGTTTGGGTATTTATCAGGGCAAGTTCTTCATCAGCTATTGAATCACTTTCCAAAAGAGACATGTCATTACATTTTTTAAGTGGCGTCATCTGAGGAGAATTCAACTCTTTTTCCTTTATAGGTGTTTTATATTTGGTGCCACAACTCCGTGGTGGCTGAAATGCCTTCTGGGCAGCTGGAGACACAAATGTACAAATGGGACTAACAGGCGGAGGTACAGGTAGTCTACTCAAGAAATCCAGGGCTTTTCTCTTCCTGCAGTTCCTTGGGTCATCGGTCTCTTTCTCCCCTTTACAAGACGGCTCTGAACTCGCTGGGGCTGCTACACACGTGGGAGCAGGCTTTCTTTTTTGCTTACAAAGTGGTAAAGGACTTTGATAATTTTTATCACTATTGGGTGAAGACATCTAATAAAAGACAAATTAAAATGTAGCTTATATAATTATATATTAACATACAAAACAAAATCAAATTAGCTTCTCATTAAAATATTTATACACACAAATACCACACATATTCTTACTCCCCTAGTGGCTAATCGGTCAGATGATTTCAAGAAACATTCATATATTATTCTTAGTCCAGAAGGAAATAATTTTACATATAAAAATGACATGAAAAGCAAGAAATATGAAGACTAATCATAGTAAAAGAGAAAAAAGGAGGTAAGAGATGTAACTTTTGCTTTAATCTTTCTATTATTAACAGGTTAAAGAAAGATAGCTTTTTTAAAACCATTTTAAGAATATAGACTGCCTGGTTTCTAATACATACTTTTCTAACTGTGACTTTAGGCAATTACTTGACTTTTCTATGCCAGAGATTTCTTGTCTGTAAAATGGACTAATTTTTATCTCATAGAGTAATTGTGAAGATTAAATGAGTTAGTATGAATATACTTAGCAATGTTAGCTACTTAATAGTCAGTAGCCAATATTAGACACTTTAGCTTGATTCACATTTTTTGTGATTTAAAGAGTTAAACTGACTTCACAAACAGCCCTAATTGTAGAGAGTAGTAGTCCTCCTAGCAGACACAGGCAAAAACATCTTTTCACTCACATGTATTGGAATGGTAAAAATGAAAGCCCCGTTTGTAGAATCTGCTCCCAGAGTATTCCATTTGGCATCAGTAAACAAGACATAATTTCCAGCCAACTTACAGGAGCCAAGTGACCATCAGCCTCACTTTCTAATTAAGTTTCATTACGTTCTACCATGTTTACTAGGTATCTACCAGAATATATTTCTGCCTCCCTGTGTAATATTTATAGAATTAAGTTTCCATTAACTTACCAGTAGCGTATCTCCGGTTCCCGGGACCGTCTGAGCTGTGTGCAGCCCTGAGGTACAGTCTCTGGCTGGGGTAGGCCACTTTGGGTCATTTGTGTTAAGTATGTGCATAAGCTTATTTTCTGCATTGGTGCAAAATACAGTAATATTCTAAGAAATAAATTAGAAAAGCTGTTTTTTAAAATGCAGATCCACACATTTATATTTTCAGAAAGTGTTACTTTTAAAACCAGAAATAAAAAATTCAGACCAGAAAAAGGAATGAGACGCCCAAAATTTGGTGGCCACTGTCAAACCATATGCTGATGGAAACATTCAAAACCAACATCAGTGATTTAGGGAAACATAGTTGTTGGAGAGAAAGAGGGAGTGTGTGTTGTGTATGTCAGGGAAAGAAAGGGATGGAAGAGGTCTTGTCAACCATCTAATTTAACTGGCAAGCATCACATGACGCCGGATTAGGAGGTGGAGCTCTATCTGCTACCTGGTCACCCAACATCTCTAGAGCGCTCCCTAGGTTAGCAGGACAAACGAGTGCTGGCTCACGTCTGCCCCATGAGTTACCGGAAATAATGTATAGGTTAAACCACATGAAACTATTGTTTCAGAGGCCAAAATGGCCAAATATCAGCAACCTCATATATTTTAATCTATTTCATGAGAGTATTTTATAAAGCCTTAAAATGCTATAAAATGACAGCTGTCTCTGAACTGCTGCTGAATAGTCTGAGAAAACCTGGAATGTTCTCTGTATGGGGCCCAAGTAATGACTGTAACCCCACTACATGCCCAGTTTAGAAACCAGGTAATCAGGGTGTTATTCCTCACATCTTTATGTTAAAATATCACACATACTTCCTTTAAACAGCTAATTAATGCTTTTTAAGATATACTTTTATTTATATATATTTTGAATTACATTTCAAATATTAACCTATAGAACTAAGACACTTACCTTTTATACATTCTTACTA